ATTGAAGTCATCCATGATTATGTTGCCCATGCTACAAGCTTCTTCTTCTCAGCGGGAAACCAAGGAATTACAGAACAGTGACCATAACATCTATGGTGGGGAAATTGTTCGATTCTACAGTCAAAGATTGGGTGAGCGATCACCTCTAAAAATTTCAGTTAGTCAGGGAGAATCAGCATGGAATCGTGAAGGCTAGGTCATGCTTGATAAACCTCTTTTTTGAAGCGGTGCAAAAGTTGGTGGACAGAGAATTCAATGGATGTTTTTACAGGCTTCTGAAAAAGTTCTAAACAGTTAGCTAAGGTGGAAGCCCATAGAACTAAGGGCAAATTACTGACATGGATAGGAACTCGGTTGAACAGCCGGAAACAAGAGTTGGAATAATGGACAAACACTCCAACTGGCAGGACAAATATTTCCCCTGCAAGGATTGGTGTTAGAGCCTTAGTTATTCACCGATTCATCAACGACTTGAATAATGCATAAAAGGTAAAATATCCAAATTGCATTTTAGAAGAGAGTGTTGACAACTACCTACAACAGAATATTGACAGATTAGGTAAATAGGCAAAGATATGGCAAATGGATTTTAATATAAGCAAGGGTGAGGTTATCCATTTTGGACTGAAAAAAGATAGATCATGGTATTTTCAAAAAGACAAAAGTAAAATAGAGTGAATGTCAAGACTTGTGGGTTTAGATGTACTGCTCTTAAAAATGTCACGAACAGGTGCTGAAAATTCTGAAGCCGGCTAACTGAATGCTGGTCTTCATACCTAAAGGGCTGAGCATTGGGATGCTGACATTATACTGTCAGTATACACAACCATGGCTGGACCCCACTTGGAGTACTGTGAGCAGATCTTTGCACCACACCTTATGAAGGATGTTTTGGCCCTGAAGAGAGTTCAACACAGGTTTACGAGCATGACATCTGGACTTCAGAGATTAAGTTATGAGGAGAGATTGAACAAATTAGGCCTTTATTCTCTAGGATTTAGAAAGTTAAGGGGTGATTAATCAAGGTCTTTGAGATATTAACAGGGAAAGACAGGTGGATAAAGATCAACTATTTCCACTAGTTGAAGATTCTGGAACCTCGCATATAATCAAAGAATTAGGGCCAAGCCATTGAAGAGAAATGTTAGAACGCAAACAGTAGTGCAGGTTTGGAACTTTCTTCCTCACTTCTCAGACAGTTGTCCTTGCCGCATTCTGTGATTTGCACTCAGTGCAATGTGCTGCCAAATGCACCTCTCCATGAGCACCATCTCATGTTATCTCAAAGCTGTCCTGTCCTCAGCTCACTCGACATTTTCTTGTTTTCTTGCAAGTGTTAAGGAATGTAAGATGCAACAACTCAAGGGTGCCAAGACCCCTCTGGAATCTTCCTCTCCTCCCTTTCCCCCTCACTCCATCCTTCCCCTTACCCACCTCAGGATGGGTATTTACCACACTTTCTGACCTTTTGCTCTCTGCTTCTCAATCTGTACTCAGCGAAAGACTTGGTTTTATCCCCTTACTCCCCCACCTCAATGAGTTTTGGAAATGACAATGTGGAACCCTTCTTTCATTACCTTCACATCCGTGCCCATTTCTGTTGGGCAGGCATCTTCTCCCTATCCCACAGACTCTTTTATCCACGTTCAACATACTTCCCCGACCTGGAGCCCTCCTTTTGACCTTTTACCTGTATTCATCATGTTCATGGAGAACTGGAGACATGACATGAGTTACCTTAATTTCTTAGATGCAACCCTAAAATGGGAATCGAGTCTGCCGCCAAGGGTGGCACTGCTATGGTGTACTGACCATGATGCTGCAGCAGCTGAGCAGCAACTCTCATACACCTGCTCCTATCTCCCCCTGTACCATGACTCCACCATTGAACATCAAGCTATTATCTTAATGACCATCACCAACTTTCTCTCATCTGGGCACTCCCTGCCATCCTCCTTCACACACTCCCAACCTCAGGGATCGGTGTTGGGACCGTAATTATTTACAATTTATATAGATGATTTGGAGTTGGGGACCACGTGTAGGGTGTCAAAGTTTGCAGATGACACGAAGATGAGTGGCAGAGCAAAGTGTGCAGAGGACTGTGAAACTTTGCAGAGGAACATAGATACATTGAGTGAGTGGGCAAAGGTCTGGCAGATGGAATACAATGTAAATAAATGTGAAGTCATACATTTTGGTAGGAGTAATAGTAAAAAGGATTATTACTTGAATGGTAAAAAGTTGCAGCATGCTGCTATGCAGAGGGACCTGGGTGTCCTTGTGCATGAATCACAGAAGGTAGGTCTGCAGGTACAACAAGTAATTAGGAAGGCAAATGGAATTTTGTCCTTCATTGCTAAAGGGATTGAGATTAAAAGCAGAGAGGTTATGTTGCAGCTGTACAAGGTGCTGGTGAGGCCACACCTGGAGTACTGTGTGCAGTTTTGGTCTCCTTACTTGAGAAAGGATGTATTGGCGCTGGAGGGGGTGCAAAGGAGGTTCACTAGGTTGATTCCGGAGTTGAGGGGGTTGGCTTATGAGGAGAGACCGAGTAGATTGGGATTATATTCATTGGAATTCAGAAGATTTGAGGGGGGATCTTATAGAAACATATAAAATTATGAAAGGAATAGATAAGATAGAAGTAGAGAGGATGTTTCCACTGGCAGGTGAAGCTACGACAAGAGGGCATAGCCTCAAGATTAAAGGGAGCAGATTTAGGACTGAATTGAGAAGGAATTTCTTCACCCAGAGGGTTGTCAATGTATGGAATTCCTTGCCCAGTGAAGTAGTTGACGCTACTTCTGTAAACGTTTCCAAAAAAATAGTAGACATTTTTTTTGAACAATAAAGGAATTAAGGGATACGGTGAGAACGCGGGTAAGTGGATCTGAGTCCACAAAAAGATCAGCCATGATCTTATTGAATGGCGGAGCAGGCTCGAAGGGCCAGACAGCTTACTCTTGCTCCTAGTTCTTATGTTCTTAAATAAGATTGCCCATTCAAGAACTACTGTTTCAGCCTGCTGTTGCCCAACGAAATGCTTTTCGTCCCACCTGGACTCCATTTTCTTTCTTCTTATCCAGTCCTTCCTACTTACATATGTGATAAGTCTGATACTTTATGTCAGTTTAAAAATTTCCAGTTTGCTGGCACCAGCGTCTTCTCTTCACCATGGACATGCAGTCCCTTGACACAAAACCTTAACTCTATTTTTGTTTCTATGGATGCTGTCAGACCAGTTTCTTCAGCACTTAGTTTTTGTTTCAGCAATATTAGCAGTTCTTTCTATTTTCCTTTTCCTGCTTGTCTGTCATTCCTAAACATTAACTATCTTTAAACATTCATCTCCCAGTCCTAGTCATCAAGCCGTCATGTTTCTATAAAGGCAATTAAATCAGACACACGTATCTCAATAGTGCTTTTAGATCATCTAACTTGTCACAAATGCTGCGTGCATTCAGGTAAAGTTGCCTTAACTTTGTGAATGGGTGCAAATTTATTTCAGAGAACGCGGAAGAGATCTATGAAAATGGTTCCAGGGATTTTACACTTCAGTGCCGAGAATCCTGCCATTGACTCCGTATTCTGCAATCAGCATTCAAATTCAACCTTCCAAAATGAATCACTTCACACTTTTCTGGGTTGAACTCCATCTGCCACTTCTTCTCCCAGCTCTGCATCCTGTCAATGTCCCGCTACAACCTACAACAGCTGTCCACGCGATCCACAACTCCACCAACCTTCATGTCATCGGCAAACGTACGAACCCACCCTTCCATTTCCTCATCCAAGTCATTTATAAAAGATCACAAAGAGCAGAGGTTCCCAGAACAGATCCCTGTGGAACACCACTGGTCACCGAGCTCCAGGCTGTGTACTTTCCATCTACTACCACCCTCTGTCTTCTATTGGACAGCCAGTTTTGTACCCAGGCAGCCACATTTCCCTGGATCCCATGCCTCCTTACTTTCTGAATGAGCCTATCATGGAGAACCGTATCAAATGACATGCTAAAATCCATCGACACCACATCCACTGCTCTACCTTCATCAATGTCACATCCTCAAAGAATTCAAAAAGGCTTGTGAGGCATGACCTGCCCCTCACAAAGCTATGCTGACTAATTCTAATCAAACTGTGCTTTTCCAAATAATCATAAATACTAACTCTCAGATTCCTCTGCAATAATTTGCCCACCACAGAAGAAAGACTCACTGGTCTGTAATTCCCAGGATTATCCCTATTCCCTTTCTTGAACAAGGAAATACCATTTTCCACCCTCCAGTCATCTGGTACCACTCCATTGGGCAGTGAGGATGCAAAGATCATTGCCAAAGGTACAACAACCACTTCCCTTGCTTCTTGAAGTAACCTTGGGCATATCCCGTCTGACCCAGTAGACTTACTTATCCTCATGTTTTTCAAAATTTCTAGCACATCCTCCTTCCTAACATCAACCTGTTTGCGCATATGCAATTGTCTTATGCAAATAAGAATCTTTTATTCTAATTAAAAATCCAAGGAAGTTTTATGACAGAAAATTATTTTGCAACAATTCTATCTGAAGTTGTCATTCCTAACAGCTTTGTCCTTGAAAACAAAATTAGCCAAATGGCTATATAAAAACCGAAAGAACTCCGGATGCTGTAAATCAGGAACAAAAACATAAGTTGCTAGAAAACCTCAGCAGGTCTGGTAGCAACTATGAAGGAAAAAAAAAAAAATCAGAGTTAACATTTTGGGTTCTGAGGAAGGGACACCGCAGCTGAAACGTTAACCCTGATCTTTTTCTTCACAGATGCTGCCAGACCTGCTGAACTTTTCAGCAACTCCTGTTTTTGTAGCCATACGACTATCTTGTGCATTTCCCTTGGAGAGCACACATGCGCATGTATACTTGACTTCAGATGCGATATTCAACAATTCCAAAGATTCAGGCAGCATGTGACTACAAGGTTTTTTTTTTCCTTAAAATGGCTATTAATGGTACTTACCCCATCATAATACTTCAGTGCAGTCATGTGGCTCTTTGGAATGATCATGCTGCCAGAGCGAGGATGAATAAATAAGATGCCTTCTGACAAAATAAACAGTTTACCTTGAATCAAAAGATAGACAATTGGTTAAAGGTTTATTAACTTCTCCCCACTTTTCTTTAAAATTATGAATCATTCAGAAATACATTTCAATTGGTCTTGGAAGCCTTTCAGTATCGAAGAGTTCACAGAATTTTTATCAGGCATAATCTGACATCAAGTCACAGATGGAAACATTAGGACAAATGGTCAAAAATAGACCCGGAATATTTTAAAGGATTTCTGAAAGACTGATGTGCAGAAAGGCTGGATAGGAAATTGCGGATCTTAAGATCTGGTGATCTAAGTACCAACAATGGGGTGATGAAAATCAGAAGATGCTCAAAAAGCCAGTATTTGCAGAGATCACAGATCTTAGAAGATTGTACAGCTAGACGAGATTGCAGGTGTACCTGAGGAAATGGTGTCAGAATGGTCACGTTTCTGGACCAGTATCCACAGACCCAGGTAATGCTATAAGACATAGGTTCAAGTCCACTATGGCAGTTGTTAGTAATAAAATCCAATCAACAGATCTGGATTGAACACTAGTGTCATGATGATGACTATAGAACCACCAATAACTGTCATAAAATGTCCCTGGTTCACTAATACACTTAAGTATAAAATCTTCCATCCTGCATACGAGTCCAGCTCATAGTAATATGGCTAGCTTTTAAATGCCCTCTGAAGCAGTGTTGTCAACCAGTCAGTTGAAGAGAATTAAGGATGGGCAAGAAATGGCTGGCCATTTCAGCAACCTTTACAAAGGGCTTTGAATTGGCCTAGATATTAGAGAATTTTAAATTTAAAGCAATGCTAGAACACAAACCTGTATAGGTCAGCAAACAAGGATAGGTGGGAAAACGGAGATAGCAAGAAGTGCAGATGCTGGAGTCAGAGACAACAGAGTGTGAAGCTGGAGGAACACAGCAGGCCAGGCAGCAGAGCAGCAGGAAAGTTGACGTTTTGGGTTAGGACACTTCTTCAGAAATGGGGGAGGGGGAAGGGAGCTCCAAAATAAATAGAGAGGAGGGATGGGGCGAGGGAAGGTAGGTGGGATGGTGATAGCTGCATGCTCTTCAGCATCAGCAACCACCTGGAAAGCAAAGCAGTCAAGACTAGGCAACAAATGACCCTTCAATTCTCTATTCCAAGGATACTTGGAATGTTAAAATTCACTGACTATGACTTACATTACACCTTTTGGTATTGAAATGGGGAAAAAAGTCAGAACTTCATTTAAGCTATGCAGCCATTGAGTCATAGAAACAGGCCCTTCGGTCCAATTAGTCCACGCCAACCATGTCCCCAAACTAAACTAGTCCCACTTGTCTGCATTTGGCCCTTTTCCCTCCAAACCTTTCCTATTCATGAACCTATCCATATATCTTTTAAATGCTGTAACTATACCTGCATCCACCACTTCCTCTGGCAGTTCATTCCACATCCAAACTACTCTCTTCAATAATATTTTGTAAAAATATTTTTTAAAATGGTTTTAAGACTCATGTTGGGGGTTTCCAAATTCAAAAAGAAAATTAAATTTCATCCATTTGAAAAGTCAACATTTTTACAGGTGGCTAATAATTAGGAATTCCTTGTTAAGTACTAATTATCTTCCTTCTGTATCAAATTTTCTATTTTCATGAAAATACTGCTCTTGAAGTGAAATCTATTCAAATTTTCAAACCCGTGTGTTCTAAAAAGTGTGACCGAGACACAATCCGTTTGAGGCAATGTTACCAGCCAAAAGTGGTTTCAAGTTTTGCACTAGTTCAATACGATGTATTACCTGGGGAGGCGATGGCCTAGTGGTATTATCACTAGACCATTAATCCAGAGACCCAGATAGTGTTCTGAAGACCCAGGTTCGAACCCGCCACGACAGATGGTGGAATTTGAATTCAATAAAATATCTGGAATTAAGAATCTAATGGGCAATTAGGGATGTGTTTCCTCTAATTTGGTCCATTTAATGATGACAAAGGTGTCGTCCACATGGAAATAGACAAACTAATAAACAACACCTTCACTGGAATCAAATTCACCAGAGAGGAGGAGAAGAACAAACAGCTCCCATTCTTAGACATCATGGTAGAGTGCAGGACAACTGGGGAACTCCAAATGAAAGTACACAGAAAAGCCACACACTGACCAGGTACTGAACTTCAACAGGAACCATCCTAACACACACACGAAACTGCGTGCGAACACTATTTAAACGGGCAACAAGACACTACAGCTGCACAGAACTATACCGAGAAGAAGAAGAATACCTTTTCCAGGTTTTCAAAGATAACGGATATCCAAAAAACTGGGTCAGAAGATGTCGACACGAACAACACCAGGAAGATACTACATGCCCGACACACTCATCACGCTACCTTACATCAGGAACACATCGGAACTAACCACAAGACTCCTACAACAGCTGGGCATCAGAGTGGCACACAAACCCACATCAACCCTACAACTGCTCACCCGAACCAAAGACCCACTACCCACAATGGACGGGACCAATGTCATATACAAGATTCCCGCAGAGACTGTGACAAACAGGAAGGAAATTAACAACAAGGGTACACGAACATCAACTGTGTGTGTACAAAAAGACGTGACCAATACCCACTCATCTCTATCCACATGGATAAGGAGAACCATCAATTCGACTGGGACAACACCAAGGTCCTGGGACGAGCAAAGCAGAGACAGGCACGGGAGTTCCCAGAAGCTTGGTACTCCACGAAGAAAGCCATCAACAAACACATAGAACTCAAACCCATATATACTCCACTGTGAAGGAAAACTGGAAGTGAGGTAATCCAGCTCAACGGACTCCAGAGTTTAAAAACCAGGCAGGAAAACACAACGGCGCTTTAACAGAGGCTGCACTGATGACATTACCCAGCAGGGTAATGAAACATCTGCGGAACAACAATGAACCAGCTCTGCGAGCCAACCAACCACAACCCGAGCTACAAATCTACTCCAAAACCTTAGAGATACTCTCCATTTGCTTAGATGAGTGCAGCTCCAACAATCGGTCAAGAAGCTCGACAGCATTCAGAACAAAGCAGCTCACTTCATTGGCCCCAACCACCACCTTAAATATTCACTCCCTCCATCACTGATACAGTGGCAACAGTTTGCACACGTACAAAATGCATTGCAGCAACTAACCAAAACTCCTCCATGAGCACCAACATCCAGTATAATTTAGTATAGAACAAAGTATACGAGTCGATCTTGGACTCTCGTGGCATTGTGGTAGCATCTTTGCCTCATGTGCCACTTGCCCAGAAATGCGTAATGACATGTCTGAACAGGTCGATTCAAAATGTAAACAAATCACCCCTTGAAGCTTTAAAATTCTATCTTAAAACAGGGAACAAATTACACCAAATTTAAAATGAGCCACTGACATTGCTGCAGCTTCTGTTCAATTGCTAAGCATGGTCTGCTCAGAGTACGTCTTAAACTACTTTCTTGGATTCTGCATCTTCTTGGGAGCTGAGTCATAGAAACATCCCTCTTTGAAATATAGAGCTGAGTTTAACTCCTAATATGGATAATGGCATTTATTAGCTATGGAGGGGGAACCAACTTATAGAACAAGTGTATGATTAAACAAGCATTCAGCCCAAGGGAAATGGAGCAAATTGATCTGCTTGAATCTACGTACATCACTGCTTTGTTCTACGCTGTCACAGACCTTTACTTTTATTCTTGCCCCTCACCTTTGTACTTGCTTAAAATATGTCACCTCAAAGCTTTCAATTCTGAAGAAACTTCTGTTAACCTGAAACATTATCTATGGAGAGAGAAAGTTATTGCCTGGGTTTCTCTGCGCTTTTAACACATTCCCATTTTATTTCATTGATCCCTTTCATCTTCCATCTAATCCGCACCCATTCTTTGCTACTTTTTTTCCTCATAGGGTGACCTACAAGGAAGACCCCTTTAATTTTGTTTATTCATTCACAGGATGAGGGTGTCAATGGCTAGGCCAGCATTTATTGCCCTTCCCAATTGCCCAGAGATCAGTTAAGAGTCAATCACATCACTGGAGACCAGACAAGGATGGTACCTTCCTTCCCTAAAAGGATATTAGTGAACCAGATCGGTTTTTCCAACAATCGACAATGGATTTCTGGTTATCATTAGATTCTTAATTGCAGATTTTAAAATTTTTTATTCAATTAAATTTCCACCATCTACTATGGTGGGAATCAAACCAGGTCCCTAGAATACGACATGACTCTCTGGATTAACAGTCCAGTGATAATACCACTCGGCCATCGCCTCCCCCCAACACTTTTGATCTCATCCTTGCAGAATACCAGGTTAAATATTTCACCAATGTGTTTTACATCATCGTAATTGGACCTAACAAAATTCTTGGCCTGCTTTCACTGAATGACTACAAAGATCAATCTGAATCATGGTCTACATAATCCTGTTCTGGACCTGAAATTCCAAGCCTTCACCAAAACAAAAATTACTTGAACCTCTGCCATATTACCCACTGCTGCCCCCTCTAATCCAGATTGTCACTAAAACCCTAATCTACGTTTGATTAGTGAACTTCATTCATCCAAATACACCTCAGTCAATCTTCAAACTTAACACCTCGCTTAAAGCTCAACTGCTCACATTCATTCTGGCAATTGGTCCTGCTCTATTATCCTTAACTACACAGAGCAATGTAATTTCAAAATTCCCAAATCAAACTTCAAAACTCTTTTTCATAGTCTCACTCTGTGTCTGACTACAATTGCTCTAGCTTCCCCCAAAAATGGAAAATCTTCCATCTTGATTTTGCTTCTGGTCACCAACTGCAACTCAATGCACATTTTCTCTAATGTACTTAACGGCATTTAATTTTTATTTTTCAAGCAGAAATCTTTTAATTGAAGTATCATATTAACCTCATATTCTTAAAATTAAACACCTTTCCACCAGCAGAGGGAAAGTGAGAAAACCTTAAAACAAATAATAATTAGGGGCAGTACGCTAGGTCTGTGGTTAGCACTGCTTCCTCACAGCGCCAGGGACAGAGGTTCGTTTCCAGCCTTGGGCGATTTCCCTTGTGGAGTTTGCACACTCTCCCCGTGCCCATGTGGGTTTTAGCCGGGTGCTCCAGTTTCCTCCCACAGTCCAAAGATGTCCAGGTTAGGTGGAGTGGCCATGGCAAATGCGGGGTTACAGGGATAGGGTGGGGCTTTGGGTCTGGATGGGAAACTTTTAGGAGAGTCTTGCAAACTCAAATAGACCAATTGGCCTCTTTCGGCACTGCAGGGATTCTGTGATTCTATTCTATGATTCAAATATAATTTGATCCACTAGCTGAATGAATTAAGTTACCTTCTTCTGGTCTGGACGTTGAACTACCCGAACAAAGGTAGACAGAATCTCCACTTGCAAGAACATTTCCCAGAAGACTTTCTTCAGCCTGAGAAAAGAACAGATTTTCATAATGCTCTCAAACCATTAAGGTTTCATCACAAAGCTACAGATCAGACCTACAGTATTATTTTTTTTAAAAAGTAACCTTCTTCAAAAGCACTACAAGGAAGATAAGTTATATAATATACATACAGTTTGAAACAGGTGTATACAGCAAAGACAGCATATACACAACGTTGCAAATGTGTTCCTTGAAATCATGATTCTAAATGGAACGGCTATGTGAATCAAAGATTTCCACAGAAATCAATGTTAATACTGGAGTTAGATTCCTTTGGACATTTCTTGCTTTGAAAGAGAAACAGTGTATAGATTGAAATACCACTATATGCACACAGTACTGTGTATTTAATTGTGCAAGTTACTTTGGCTAAATGTAAAAGAAACTGGTTTTAAACAGCATAGTGGAGGAAAAAAGAAAGATCTTAAAATAAATATGATTTGCCATAGAGTCATAGAGATATACAGCACAGACCCTTTGGTACAACTCGTTCATGCTGACCAGATATCCTAAATTAATCTAGTCCCATTTGCCAGCATTTGGACCATATCTCTCTAAACTCTTCGTATTCATATATTCATCCAGATGCCTTTTTAATGTTGCAATTGTACCAACCTTCACCATTTCCTCTAGCAGCTCATTCCATACACACACCACCGTGTGTGTGAAAAGGTTGTCCTTTTGGTCCCTTTTAAATCTTTCCCCTCTCACCTTCAACTTATGCCTTCTAGTTCTGGACTCCCCTCCCTGGGGAAAAGACCTTGGCTGTTTACCCTATCCATGCCCCTCATGATTTTATAAACCTCTATAAAGGTCACCCCTCAGCCTCTGATGCTCCAGGGAAAATAGCCCCCGTCGATTCCGTAACTCCCCATAGCTCAAACTCTCCAACCCTGGCAACATCCTTGTAAATCTTTTCTGAACCCTTTCAAGTTTCACAACATCCTTCCTACAGCAGGGAGGCCAAAACTGCTTGCAGAATTCCAATAATGGCCAAACCAATGTCCAGTATAGTCACAACGTGACTTCTGAACTCATAATTGATCCAATAGTCAAATGAATTTAGATATTTCTCGGCCTTAGGTGAAATGATATAGATTTCTTAGCATCTACTTTAATGACTAAAACAGCCTTTATAATAAAACATTTCTTATATATCAATATGTTGAAACTTATTTTCTGAAGTATTTATGCTCATCTGAATTACCCATGCACCATCTAGTGGTAGATGCTGGTTGGTGCAATTGCAGCTGAAATCCAGAACTACCTGCACAGACCAATGTCTGCCACTAGGTGGAGGCCAGAACCTCAATGCAGGATCAGAGTGAGAGGCTGAAGAGCTGCAAAACTCCCCAGTGGTGGCAATTGATACCTCAAACTTTAAATTAGGAATAGGAGACATGCTGTGGGCTGAAGGGGAAAGTGAGGCAGGGCAGGAACCAGATAAAGAACAGGGCCCTTCAAGACTGAATGCGGGAGTAGCAGCAAGCAATCCACAGAACAGGGACCTCAACAGGCCGTGGATCAGGAAGACTGTTCACAGGTTTTGGCTGAAAAATGGTGTGGTCTCCACCCACCCTCCCAAATTATTCAATACTGCCCTGGCTCCAACTTGCTACAAGGGGTAGTTTGAAATTCCATTCCTAGTATTAATGAGACTTTTAGCATTGAAATTTGAGTGTTTGAGGCCAAGAAGCAGGTTAGGCAAAACATTACATCAAATGTCAAAGTTCAGGCTGTAATTTCAACAGTAGAAAATAGTAGCAGCAGCAGCAGCCTGTTGTACAGTGAAATCATACCAGCTCAATTGCACCTTGTTTGGCAGGAGGTGGGGAACCGGATTTGTAATTCAGAGGATGAGGTATTCAGCCTTCCAACAGACACAACAGGGAGTGAGGTTGTTAGTAAAGGAATGCAGTCGATGGAGCGTACTTGTGGACACAGGGATGGTTTGAAGTGTATATACTTCAAACGCTAGAAGTATCAGAAATAAGGCGGATGAACTTAGAGCATGGGTCAGTACGATTTTGTGGCCATTACAGAAAACTGGGTAACTCAGACAGGAATGGTTGTTGGAAGTTGCGGGATTTAGAAGCTTTAAAAGAAAGAGAGAGAGGGTGGTAAAAGAGGCGACAGAGTGGCATTGCTAGTCAGCACTAGTATAGCAGCTACTGAAAGGCAGTTTGAGAATGATATGTCTACAGAGTCAGTTTGGGTTGAGGTCAGGAACAAGAAAGGAGCAGTCACTTTGTTGGGGGATTTTTACAGACCCCCTAATAGTTGCAGAGAAGTGGAGGAGCGGATTGGGAGGCAGATACTGGAAAGGTGCAGAAGTCACAGGGTTGTAGGCATGGGTGACTTCAACCTTCCAAATATTGATTGGGGACATTTTAGTTGTAATAGTTTAGATGGAGCAGATTTTGTCCAGTGCGCTCAGGAAGGATTCCTGACAGTGTGTAGATAGACCAACACGAGGAGAGGCCACTTTGGATTTGGTGCTTGGAAATGAACCAGGCAAGTGTCAGACCTGTTGGTAGGAGAGCATTTTGGCAGTAGCAATCATAACTCTTACTTTTAAAATAGTCATGGAAAAGGATAGGTACATACAGCAGGGTAAGGTTTATAATTGGGAGGTGGGGGGAGAAGGGTAATTATAATTCTGTTAGGCAAGAACTGGGTAACATAAAATAGGAACAGATACCGTCAGGGAAGAGCACTATAGAAATGTGGAGATTGTTTAAGGAATGCATAATGCGTGTGCTCGATATGTTTGTCCCTAGCAGGCAGCAAAGATACATTAGACTGAGGGAGCCTTGGTTCTCAAGAGAGGTCGAACGACGAGTTAAGAGGAAGAAGGATGCTTATATAAAGTTTAGGAAACAAGGATCAGAAAAGGCTCTCGAGAGATACAAGTTAGCCAGGAAGGAGCTGAATAAACGGCTTAGGAGAGCTGTAAGGGGGACATGAAAAAACCTTGGCAGATAGGATCAAGGAAAACCAGGACTTTTTACACGTACATGAGGAATAAGAGAATGACCAGAGAAAGGGTTAGGCCGATCAAAGATCGTAAAGGGAATTTGTGCATGGAGCCTAAAGAGATAGGAGAGGTCCTTAATGAATACTTTTCTTCAGTATTCACAACTGAGAGGGACCTAGTTATAGAGGAGGACAGTGTGAAACAGGCTGGTTGGCGAGAGGAGGTGGATGTTAGTAAGGAGGATGTACAAGGAATTTTGAGGAACTTGAAGATAAATAAGTCTCCCAGGCCTGATGGAATTTATCCAAGGATTCTACGGGAAGTGACAGAAGAGATCGCAGGGCCTTTGGCGATGATCGTTTCATCCTCACTGTCCACGGGTATAGTGCCGGAAGACTGGAGAGTGGCAAACGTCATTCCCTTATTCGAAAAAGGGAATAGGGATAACCCCGGAAATTACAGGTCAGTTAGTCTTACTTCATGGTGGGCAAATTACTGGAAAGGGCAGAGAGATAGGATTTCTGATCACTTGGATAGGCACAGTTTGATTCGTGATAGGCAGCATGGATTTGTGAGGGGTAGACCATGCCTCACAAACCTTATTGAATTCTTTGAAGAGGTGACCAAACACATGGATGAAGGTCGAGCAGTGGATGTGGTATACATGGATTTAAGTAAGGCGTTTGATAAGATTCGCCATGGCAGGCTCATGCAGAAGGTAAGGAGGCATGGGATAGGGGGAAATGTGGCAGATTGGATTCAGAATTGGCTGACCCTTAGAAGACAAAGGGTGGTAGTGGACGGAAAATATTCAACATGGTGCTCAGTTACGAGTGGTGTACCACAAGGATCTGTTCTGGGTCCTCTTCTATTTGTGATTTTTGTAAATGATTTGGATGCAGGAGTGGAAGGGTGGATTAGTAGTTCACGGACGATACGAAGGTGAGTTGAGTTGTGGACAGTGCGGAGGGCTGTTCTAGGTTACAAAGGGATATTGATAGGATGCAGAGCTGGGCTGATAAGTGGCAGATGGAGTTTAATCCTGAGAAGTGAGAGGTGATTCATTTTGGAAGGACAAACTTGAAAGCAGAATACAGGGTTATCGGACAGATTCTTGGCAGTGTGGAGGAGCAGAGGGATCTTGGGGTTCATGTTCACAGTTCCCTGACAGCTGCCACCCAGGTGGATAGAGTTGTTAGGAAGGCGTATGGTGTGTTAGCTTTCCTTAATAGAGGGATTGAGTTCAAGAGCCGTGAAGTTATACTCCAGCTATACAAATGCCTGGTTCGGCCACTTCTGGAGTATTGTGTCCAGTTCTGGTTGCCTCATTACAGCAAAGATGTGGAAGTGTTGGAAAAGGTGCAGAGGAGATTTACCAGGATGTTGCCTGGAATGGAGGGAAGGTCTTGAGGAAAGGTTGAGCGCGCCGGGGCTTTTCTCTTTAGAACGACAAAGGATGAGAGGTGACTTGATAGAGGTGTACAAAATGATCAGAGGTATAGATAGAGTGGACAGCCAGAGACTTGTTCCTAGGGTGGAGGTAGCTATTATGAGGGGACATAGTTTTAAAGTGAGTGGAGGTAGATACAGGTGAGACGTCAGAGGTAGGTTCTTTACTCAAGAGAGTGGCAGGGGTGTGGAAGGCATTGCCGGAGAGTGTAGTGGAGTCGGCCTCATTAGGGACATTTAAGCGGCTATTAGATAGGCATATGGATGATAGTATAAAGGTAGGGGTGAAGGTTAGACAGACCTCAGGTTTAGGGTAAAGTTCGGCACAACATCATGGGCCGAAGGGCCTGTACCGTGTTGTACAATTCTATGTTCTATGTTTCCTTCAATGGACCAAACACCATTGAAGGTACTTCTGTCGTGAGTTCTCACTAAACAAATTTTATTTTATCTGCACGCAATTTTTAAAACAAATCTTTATTCTACTTCCCATTCGTCACCCATTTAAGACAGATGAGGGGTTTCTTTCCCCCCAAGAAGGGTGGCATCTGTGAAATTCTTCAACTCAGACGGCTGTCGTGCTGGGTCATTAAGTATATTCAAGGTGGAGACAGACAAATTTCTCATCAGTAAGGGAATCAAGAGTCACGTGGAACAGCAAGGAAAGTGGAGTTAACAATTATAACAGCCAGGATCTCTCAGAATACTCAATATGCCAAGTGGCCTACTTATGCTCCTATGTCTTATAGTCTTGCCAAATTATAAATAGGATTTTTAACAAAAATTGAAGCTAGTGGGGTATGTTTCCCTAATTTATCTCTCTGCTTTTTCAGTTTTGCGCCTCTCATCTCTGTAAAAAGTGCAAATAGAATAGACCAAAAACAAACAAGTACAGACTCATTAAAAGCAGACTCCAGTAGTCTTAATGAAGAATGTTCCTGGAAAATGTCTACAGTCAGCAGGGCGGAGACCATTCAAACAAAACCTCGGACCTGGAAGCAACCATGTGGCCTCGAGGCTACCGAACTATTCAATAAGATCATGGATTATCCAACGTGACCTCAACCTCCACATTCTTGCCTCCCCAGATAGATTCTTGACTAACAAGGTTAGATCATCTCCTATTAGAGATGGTTATTGTTTGCATTTGCATGGCAGGAATGTTTCTTGCCTCTTTTCAATTAAGCCTGGATATTATCCAGGTCTTGCTGCATTTGGAGATGGACTGCTTCAGTATTGAAGTCCCAAATGGTGATGAACATTGTGCGAACATTTCCACTACAGAGCTTATGATGGAGGGAAGATCATTGCAGAGGCAGCTTAAGATAGTTCGACCTAGGATCTTGGACCTGAGGAACTCCTGCAGATATCTCTTGGAGCTAAAATGACTAACCTCCAACAGCCACAACGATCTTCCTATGTACCAGTATGACTCCAATCAACAGAGGCTGCCCTCCAATATCCACTCATTCCAGATTTGCTAGGACTCCTTGAGGCCACACTCTGTCAAATACAGTCTTGATGTCAACAAACAGTCGCTCTCACCTCACTTCTGGAACTCGGCTCTTTTGTCCATGTTTGAACCAAGGCTGTAATGAGGGCAGGAGCTAAATGGCCCAGGCAGAACCCAAACTGTGCGTCACTGAGCAGGTGCTGTTCAATAGCACTGTTGATGACAACATCCATCACTTTCCTCATGATCAAGACTAGGCTGAGGAAGTGTTAGTTGTCCAGGTTGTATTTATCCTTATGTTTGCGTACGGGACATACCTGAACAATTATCCACACCAGTATTGCAAATGTATTGGAACAGCTTGGCTCGGGCTTATGGCAGGCTCTGGAGCAAAGGTCTTCAGTCTGATTGTCACAATGTTGCAGTATCCAGTGCCCTCAACTGTTTCTTGATATCATGAGGAGTGAATCGAATTTGCTGAAAACTGGCATCCGTGATGTTGGGGTCTTCTGGAGGATCTGTGTCTATTGCTTGCTGCATTTGTTGTTTGGCATGCATGGTGTCTTGTTTTGTAGCCTCACCAGGTTGGCAGCTCATTTTCAGGCATGCCTGTTGCTGCTCCTGCACTTGATTGCACCAAGACTGAATCCCTGGCTGATGGTAATGGGTGAATGGGGGATACGGTGGGCGATGAGGTTGCAAATCATGTTGGAATATGATTCTACTATTGCTGACAACCCACAATGCCTCATGGATGCCTAGTCTCGAGTGCTAGATCTGTTTGAAGTCTCTTCCCTTTAGCATGGTGGTCATGCCACACAACATTTAAATTTAATGCTGATCTCACTCTTTGGGCATCTTCTCTGCAGCCATAACACTGTATTCTTCATTATGTTTTATTACCCTAATGCACTTTGTATGGCAAGATCTGCCTGTACTACACACAGTACAAAACTTTACACTGTACCCAGTACATGTGACAATAATAAAATCAAATCAAAGAATAGAATCAAATCGAAATATAATGGAGGTTATTCTCAATGTGAAGGCAGCACTTTGTCTCCACGAGGACTGTGCAGTGGTCACTTTTACTGATACTGTCAGGGACAGATGCATCTGCAACAGGCAGACTGGCTACAAGGAAGTCAAGTATGTTATTTCCCCTCTTGTTGGATCCCTCACCACCAAACCAGCTCGATCAGTAGTGTTGCTGCTGAGCCACTCTTGGTGATGGACGTCGAGATCCCCTACCTGGAATGCCACCCTCAGTACTTCATCCAAGTGTTGTTCAACATGGAGGAGTACTGATTACTGATTCATCAGCCAAGGTAGGACAGTAAGCGGTTTCCTTATCGATGTTTGATCTGATGCCATGAGACTTCATGATGTCCAGAGTCAAAGTTGAGGACTCCCAGAAGAACCTGCTCCTAATTTTAGAACACTATGCCACCACCTCTGCTGGGTCTACCCTGCCAGTGGGACAGGACATATCCAGAGACAGTGACATCTGAGACATTGCCCGTAAAGCATGATTTCATGAATATGACTATAAGCAGGCTGTTGCTTGACTAGTCTCAGAGACAGCTCTCAGAATCTTGGCACGAGAACCACCCCCCCCACCCCTCCAATATTCGAAAGGAGGACTTTGCAGTGTGAAGTGCTGTTTTTGCCTTTGTCTTTCCAGAGCTTAGACTGATGCCAGGTGGTCCATCCAGTTTCGTTTCTTTTTGAGACTTTCGCGTGTTTGATACAACTGATTGGCTTGCAGGGTCATTTCAGAGACCAGTTAACACCCAACCACACTGCTGTACATTTGGAGTCACTAGTAGGCCAGACTGAGTAAGGATGGCAGATTTCCTTCCCTGAAGGAAATTAGTGTACCAGATGGATTTTCCCAGCAATTGACAGTGGTCTCATGGTCATCGTTAGATTCTGTCATGACGGGTTTTGAACCCAGATCCCCATAACATTACTGGAGATTCTGGATCAGTAGTCTAGTGATAATACCAGAAGGCCATCACCTCCCCAAAACCACCTAAGGATCTGCCTCTTCAAACACCAACTGCCTCACTTCAGAAGGTGTGCAAATGGAGCATTGGAATGTTTGAAGTGGAAAAATGGCATCCTTGACCTTGAGGCATGATGTAAGAGGACGACAACTGTGGAAAGAAGGCCACTATTTATAATCTGAGATCACAGATGGATTCGGAACTGTACGTCCCATGGCAAACATTTTCTTAAAGTGTTTAACATTGGTCTGAACAAGGAATTGTTATGGTAATTAATTTTGAGGGAACAGAATAGGGCAAATTTCTTATTAATACACATAATTCACAATACTATTTCATTGGGCAAATGTTGGTGGAAAGAACATAGAATCTGGGAAAAGAAGAAGTTCTCTATAACTTATGAATAACTAATCAGAAAATGAGAATACACAAGTTGAAACAATTGGCCAACCAGGTAATTATAAAACAAATTACTTGGCAGGCAAAATTTAGTCAAATCTGTTAAAGAAAACTTAAAAGATTCGACCTGTCAATCTAATTTACACAACACTAACATGGACTTACATGTTACATTAAGATACTGTACCACTGGACAAACTTAGTAAATATCTGAATAAATTTATTGACACACATTGGCCAATGAAGCAAAGCACAGTTTCAAACTTATAAAAGCTAAAATACTGAATATACACTGGCAAAGCCACCTAACAATTCAAAACTAATATGTAGATATGGAACTAGAACTGCAAAATCAAACCATAGTGTCTCAAAAAATTCCCTCTCTTATTCCTGGTTCTGTTCATAATTTGAACACCTAGGGCATTTCTACCAGCAACAAATTAAACATTCCTATTGTGCAAATTTATTACAAGTTATGAGGAACATAAATCTCATTTCTTAAAAAAATTCCAATTAGTGGACCTACCTTTATTATTTGTTGTGCTTCTTCAGAAAGTTTCACCTCAGCATCTTCAACCTTATGAAAGAAAATAATTATGAATATAAAAACCTCAAAATAATATCTCAATACCACTTCTGGTATGTCTTTCTTTTTCTTCAAGTGAAGATCCACCACATTGATTGACAGGTCACTTCAACAAATCGGACTACTCACTTCCACTGTCACCACTTCCAAACCCCTGCAGATCAACATTAACATTTGACAGGTCCATTCAAAAGTCTGATAACAGCAGGGAAGAAGCTGTAGTTGAATCTGTTCATGCACGTATTCAAACTTTTACATCTTCTGCCCAATAAGAGGGCGGAAGAGAATATGACTGGAGCTAGGGAGGAGGGCTATGGGGTCTTTTGATTATGTTGGTTGCTTTCCAGAGATACAGGGAAGTGTAAAATGGAGTCAATGGACAGAAGGCTGGTTTGCATGATGTACTAGGCTGTGTTCATGACTCTCTGTACTTTCTTGCAGTCTTGAGAAGACCAGTTGCCATACCATGCTGTGAAACATCCAGCTAGGGCGATTCCTATGGCGCATCTATAAAAATTGCTAAGAGTCTTTGTGGACATGCCGAATTTCCTTAGCATCCTGAGGAAATAGAGGTGTTGTTATACTTCTTGGCCATCACATCGACATGGGTGGACCAGGACAAATTGTTCGTGATCATCACTCCCAGGAACATACTCTCAACCGTCTCCACCTCAGCACCACTAATATAGACAGGGGACATGCCCTCCACTCCGTTTCCTCAAGTCAATGACCAGCTCCTTCATTGTGCTGACATTAAATGGAGAGATTGTTGTCTTTACACCATGCTATGAAGCACTCAATCTCTTTCCTGTATTCCGTCTCATCGTTGTTGAAGATCTGACCTACGACAATGGTATCATCACAAATTTGTAAATGAAGCTGGAGCAGAATTTGGCCACACAGTCGTGACTGTATAAGGAGTATAGTAGAGGGCCGAGTATGCAGCCTTGCGAGGCACCAGTGCTGAGGATTATGGTGGAGGTGGTGTTGTGGCCTATTCTTATTGATTGGGGTCTGTGGTTCAGGAGGTCGAGGATTCAGTTAGAGGCAGAAGTCAAGACATAGGTCTCAGAATTTAAACAGGAGTTTGTTTGGAATTATGGTGTTGAAGGCAGAGATGTAGTCAATAAGCAGGAGCCTGATGTGTATCCTTGTTTTCCAGATGTTCCAGGAATGATTGTAGGGCCTGGGAGATGGCATCTGTCTTGGACCTCTTGCGCCGGTAGGCAAATTGCAGGGAATCAAGGCAGGCTAGGAGGCTAGAGTTGCTATGAGCCATGACGAACCTCTCAAAGCACTTCATAATTATGGAGGTTAGAGCCACCAGGCAGTAGTAGTCATTGAGGCACGCTGCATGATTTTTCTTTGGCACTGGGATGATGGTGGTCTTTTTGAAGCAGGTGGGGACTTCAGATCACAGTAAGGAGAGGTTAAAGATGCCTGCGAGTACTCCCACCAGCTGGACCACACACGATCCGAGTGCTCAGCTGGGGACATCATCTGGGCCAGTCGCTTTCTGTGGGTTTGCTCTCAAGAAAGGTAGATCTAACATCTGCAGCAGAGTTGGACTAAAACAATCTGTTGCCGTGTTGTATGACTCTATGATCACAATTAACAGTGGTACAGTCTGAATTTGGTCTTTCAGGTTCATAGTTCTGTACAGCACTGTTCCTATTAAGCATCTTCCCTTCTGTTCTTCACTCATCTCTGCTATAACTTTTTTATTCCACGAATTTTTTCTCATTTAATATCATCTTCTAAACAATCCTTGGTCTTCCCTTCCATTCTTCCTCCACTTCCCACTTTTAATATAAAAGCATTACTTTTCTGCCTTCTTTTAATTCAGAAGACTTGGATTTGACTCAAAATGTTAACTGCATCTCTTTGCATTGATTCAACCAAACCTGCTGCATATTTCAAATACTTCCTGATTTTAATTTCAATAGAATTTGAATCCATTTTGTGAGAACTCCCGTTTTTTGAAAAGCAAAGCAGTTTTAGCTACAAAGAAAATACACAGCTCCCAACTGCCCACAGTGATAACTAACGCAAATATAAAGTCAGCGAAGTGAAGAACAGAAGGGAAGATGCTTGTCATATGAGGACCAGTTGAGGTCACTGGGTCTATACTTAGTGGCTTTTAAAAGGATGAGGGTGAATCTCTTTGAAACCTGCAGAATATTGAAAGGCCGAGGTAGTGTGGACATGGAGAAGATGTTTCCACTTGTAGCGCAGACTATAACCTGAAAGTGCAATCTCAAGGTGAAAGGGTGACCCTTTAGGACTGAGATGGGGAGGAATTTCTTCAACCAGAGAGTGGTGATTCTGTGGAACTTATTGTCATGGATGGCCATGGAGACTAGGTCGAGTGTATTTAAGACAGAAATAGATAGGTTCTTGATTACAAAGGGGATCAAGGGTTGCAGGAAGAAAGCAAGAGAATGGGGTTGAGAAACGTATCAGTCGTGATCGAATGGCGGAGTAGACATGATGGGCCACACGGCATAATTCTGCTTCGATATCTTATGTCTATTGGAATAAAACACACTAAAATGTCATAACAATAGCCTTTGTGGTTTGCAGCCCTACACCTTGCCAAATCCAAATAAGCTACATTAATAATGTAAATTATAGGCTCGAGATATCACTGAAATCAAAACTAGCCAACTGCTGTTTCGGATTTTTCCCCAAAAGGAAAAAAAAACAAAAATCGATATCAATCAATTGAACAGACTTATCACTGTTGAGTTTCTTATCAATAAAATGCCATTTTATACTGGATATCAGACCTCAAAATGGTAGTTACTTTACAAATAACAGACCACAAATTATTCCTGTGTTCATTTTCATTCAGAGACAGCTACAAACACAGAAGGGTGGGATAGCTACACAGGCAGAAGGATGGGTGATGACAAAAGGAAAATACTTTTCAGACAATGATTTAAAGCAGCAGCACAAAGAAATAAGGGGCAAAGTACATAAAAATACTTTATTCTTTGAAATACAAAAATACAACTGGAATACGCATTCTTAATTGACTACATTTCTTTTTGTCAACTATTCAACACTGGGGCGAAACAAATTAAACAATTATAAGCCATCAGAAAACAAAGTCAGTTATCCATTATTGATTATGTAGGTTTATCTGGTTGTTGGCCAAGGATTTTGTTTGGTAGATCCCAAATTCAAATTCAATGATTAAGATGATCAATACCGTAAATACTGGAAATGCAGAAGGGGGTGAAATTCAAAAAGTCACCCAATGTATATACAGTTCCATCGAGGATGGTGGAGAACTCTGGACATCAAGGGACATTGAGTGTTTGATGATGGGAAGAAGAGGAAGCATACAGCAGGTACATTGCATTAAAAACAGGGGAGGTCCTTCGAAAGCATAGTGCAAGAGGTTGCTTAAAAAGGAAATTAGGAAGGCAAAGAGAAACACGAAATATCTTCGCCAGACCGGATCAAGGCTTTTAATGACAACATTAAAAGCAGAACAGGGTTACCAAGGAAAGAGTGGGACGTGAAAGAGGGAAACCAAAAGGACATGGAGCCAGTGGACATGGTGAGTTCTTAAACAAATATTTCTCCTCTGAATACAGTTTACAAAGACAGTGTAGTCAGGAATACCAGTATTTATTTCTGGGATCCTCTCCACAATCCGGACGAAGGGTTTTGGCCCGAAACATTGATTTCCCTGCTCCTCAAATGCTGTCTGACCTGCTGTGCTTTTCCAGCTCCACATTTATTGACTCTAGCTTCCAGCATCTGCAGTCCTTATAGTCTCCAAGCTGCTACAGAAGCCTGGGGTGAGATGGCTGGGGTCCTTGTGAATACTTTTAGTATTTCACTGTCCACAGGCGACGTGCGAGATGGCTGGAGGATAGCTAATGGGGTTCCTTTGTTCAAGGACGGCAGTCGGGATAGGCAGGTAATTACAGACCAGTTTATGGTAGAGAAATGACTGGAAAAATTCTGAGGGACAAGATTGATCAGGGATAGTCACCACGGATTTGTCAATTCGATGAGTGTTTGAAGGAGAAGGAACGACTGGCAAATGGGAGGCTTTTAAAGTGTGATATCAAAAGTCCATGGAGAGTATGTCCATGTTAAGGTGAAGGGAAAAGCTGCCAGGTTTAAGGATCTCTGGTTGACGAGGGATATTGAGGCTGTGGTCAGGAAAAAGGTGGTGGCATACATTGGGTTTAAGCTATCAGGCTCAAGTGATTCCCTAGATTACTTTAAAAAAATGTAGGAACACACTCAAGAGGGAAATCAGAAGAGCAAAAAGAGGGTGAGACGGATCTGGCAGATAAGGTTAAAGATAATCCTGAGAGGTTCTACTGATGTAATAAGAGTAAAAGGGTGGCTAGGGAGAAAATAGGTCTCCTTAAATATCAGCATGGCTGTCTACGTGTGCAGCCACACGTAGTCTAGACCCTTCTTCAGAAAAATGGGGGATGTTCTGGTTCGCATACACATTACCAGAGAGGTGGTGTTTGCAGCCTTAACGCACATTAAAGGTGGATAAAATCCCTGGGCCTGATCAGGTCCATCCTCAGATGTTGTGGGAAGCTAGGGAAGAAATCGCAGAGACCCTTGCAGAGATTTTTGCTTCATCTTTAGCCAATGAATTTCCAGGAGACTGGGAGGTGGCTGATGTTGTTACTACTTTTCTTAAAGAATGGAAAGACAAGCCAGGGAACTACAGGCCAGTGAGCCTGACATCAGTGGCAGGCAAATTATTGGAGAGGATACTGAGGGACAGGATCAAACAACATTTGGATAGTTACAGTCTGATTAGGGATAGTCAGCATGGATTTGTGCACAGGAAGTCATGTCTGACAAATCCTTGAGTTTTTCAAGGAGGTAAGCAAGAGGGTGGATGAGTATAGGGCAGTGGATGTTGTCTATATGGACATTAGTCAGGCTTTTGACAAGTCTCGCATGGCAGGCTAGTCATGAAAGTTAGGTTGCATGGGATCCAAGGGAGGCTAGCTAATTGGATTCAAAACTGGCCTGATGGTAGGAAGCAGAGGGTGATGGTTGAAGGTGATTTCTCGGACTGGAGGCCTGTGACTAGCGGTGTGCCACAGGGGTTGCTGCTGGGACCTTTGTTATTTCTTATTTACAGAAAATGATTTGGATGTGAGTGTACAAGGTGTGATTAGTGAGTTTGTGGATAATACTAAATTAGGAGATATCACTGATGGCGAGGAAGGTTATCAAAAATTACTGGGGGATCTTGATCTGATGGGGAAATGGGCTGAGGACTGGCAAATGCAATTCAATACAGATAAGTGTGAAGTAATGCACTTTTGAAAGTCAGACCAAGGCAGGTGTTATATAGTAAATGGTAAGACCTGAGGAGTGTTGTGGAATAGAGCGACCTAGGAGTACAAGTACATAGTTTGTTGAAAGCAGCATCACAGGGGGACAGGGTGGTGAAGAAGGCATTAAGCATGCTGGCCTTCATCGGTCAAGGCATCGAATGTAGGAGTTGGGACGTTATGTTACAGTTGTATAAGTCTTTGGTGAGGCCGCACTTGGAGTGTTGTCTACAGTTTTGGTCACCCTGTTCTCGGAAAGACATAGTTAAAACTGGAAAGTGTGCAAAGATGATATCGAGGATGTTGCCAGAACTCGTAGGCCTGAGTTATAGGGAGAGGTTGGCCAGGATAGGACTTTGTTCCTTGGAATGTTGTAGAATGACGGCTGACCTGACGGAGGTGTATAAAATCACGAGAGGCATAGATAGGATGGATTCATATCATCTTCTTCCCAGGGATGGGGAACTGAAAACTAGGAACTGAAAACATAGGTTTAAGGTGAAAGGGGAAAGATTTAAGGAGGACCCAAGGGGTAACTTCTTCATGCAGAGAGTGGTGTGTATATGGAATGGGCTGCCAGTGAAAGTGGTTGAGGCAGGTATAATAGCAACATTCAGATAGGTACATGGATGAGAAGGGTTGAGAGGGATATGGACCAAAATGTGGGCAATTGGAACTAGCTGAGTGGGCACCATGGTCAGCATGGGCCAGTTTGGGCCAAAGGACCTATTTCCATGCTGCATTGCTCTATGACTCAGGATCTGTCTCTAACTAATCATTATCTACTTTGTTTTTTTGCAATGGTGACTAAACATACTGGTAAGTGTCGTGCAGTTGAAGTGGTTTACATGGACTTCAGTAAGGCTTTTGTAAAGGTCCCATATGGAAGGCTGGTCTAAAAGGTAAGAGCCCATGGGATCCAAGGCAAGTTGGCAAACTGGATCCAAAACTGGTTTACAAATAGAAGGCAAAGGGTGATGATGGAGGGTTGACTTTGTGATTGGAAGCCTGTGACCAATGGGGTACCACAGGGATTGGTGCTGGGAGTCTTATTGTTTGTTTATACGTTAATTACTTGGATAGGAATGTAAAAATAATAATTAGTAAGTTTCCAGATGACATAAAAATTGGGGGTGCTATTGATAGGGATGAGGATGGTCTCAGGCTACAGTTTGATATTGATCAGTTGGTAAATTGGACAGAGCGATGGCAGATGGAATTTAATCCTGACAAGTGCAAGGTGATACATTTTGGGACATCTGAAAAGAGATAGCTTTAGACAATGAATGGTAAATTCCTAGGGAGTATTGAGGAACAAAGAGAGACCTTGGTGTACAAGTCCACAGATCTCTGAAGGTGTCAGCACAGGTGGACAGGGTAGTGAAGGCGGCATACAAGATAACTGCCTTCATTACCTGGGCCATACAACATCAGAACAAGAAGTCCAATTACAACTTTATAAAACATTGGTTAGGCCACAAATAGAATACTGTATACAGTTTTGGTAGCTACACGATCAGATGTGATTGTATTGGAGAGGTGCAGAAGAGACTCACCAGGATGTTGCCTGGGATGAAAAGTCTCAGTTACGAAAAGAGACCAGATAAGCTGGGATTGTTTTCCCTTGATACAGGGGAGGCTGACGGGGAGGGGATCTAAACGAGGTATACAAAATTATGAGAGCATAAACAGAGGAGATTGTGACAGTCCCTACCCCATGACAGGCATGTCCAAAACCAGAGATCATAAGTTTAAGGTGAACAGCAAGTAGTTTAGAGAAGATCTGAGAAACAAACTTTTTTCATCCAAAGAGTGGTAGATGTATGGAACGTGCTGCCTGAGAGAATGGCAGAGGCGGTACTCTTGTAACACTTAAAGCATGTGGCTGAATACTTAATACGTGAGGGCATAATCAGCTTTGGATCAAGAGCAGGCAAGTAGTGTAGTTTAGTGTTTATTGATCTGTTGGTTAGCAAGGTTCAATCACACGGAATAGAGGAAGAACTAGCTACTTGGATACAGACCTGGCTCACAGGTAGAATACAGAGGATCGTGGTGGAGGTTTGCTTTTCGAATTGGAGACCTGTGACCAGCGGTGTGCCAAAAGGATCGGTGCTGGGTCCACTGTTTTTTGTCATTTTTATAAATGATTTGAATGTGAACAGAGGAGGTAGAGTTAGTAAGTTTGCAGGTGACACTATGCTTGCCCTTATTGGTCAGTGCATTAGGTGTAGGAGTTAGGACGTCATGTCGCAGCTGTACAGGACACTGGTTGGGCCACTTCTGGAGTAGTGTGCGCAATTCTGGTCTCCCTCCTATAGGAAGGATGTTTTGAAACTAGAAAGGGTTCAGAAAAGATTTGAGAATGTTGCCAGGGTTGGAGGGTTTGAACTATAGGAAGAGGCTCAATAGGCTGTGGCCATTTTCCCTGGAGCGTCAAAGGCTGAGAGGTGACCTTATAGAGACTTATAAAATCACGAGGAGCATGGATAGGGCGAGTAGGCAAGGTCTTTTCTCTGGGTGGGAGAGTCCAAATCGAGAGGGCATAGGTTTAAAGGTGAGCGGGGAAAGATATAAAAGGGATCGAAGGGGCAACTTTTTCACACAGAGGGTGGTGCATCTATGAAATGAGCTGCGAGAGGAAGAGGTGGAGGCGGGTATAATTACAACATTAAATAGGCATCTGGATGGGTATACGAATAGGAAGAGGTTAGAGGGATATGGGCCAAATGCTGGCAAATGGAGCTAGATTTGTAGGATATCTGGTTAGCATGGACGAGTTGTACTGAAGGATCTGTTTCTGTGCTGTATATCTCTATGACTCTATGGTCAACATAGACATGGTGGGCCGAACAACCTGTGTGTCATATGACACCCTATAACTGAGTTTACCACTCAATATTTAGGATAGCACAAAAGACAACAGATAAAAGTTTAAAAATATAGCAAGAGAGTATGGGGGAGAACCCATACAGAAGTGTTTCACACTTAGCAATCAAGTGTCTCCAACAGGACAGTATTGCAGTAAAATAAGAACAGGGGAAAGTACAGCAACCCAAGAATTTGTATGAGGCCACATCACAAATACGAAATTTCCTTCAGCAGTTGTGTGTGTATTCCATAATATTAGTTTGCCTTGTAGCTTCATCTAAGTCTGCGGTCTAATAATCTTTTTATTACCTTTTCAGGTGAGAATTACACAGAATTACTTTTCAAATACTGACTGTAGGATGAACTGCTAAAACTACACTGCTTCACAAGAAAGTACTTTAAACAAAACATTCACAAAAATTAAAAAGGAGGCTGGAACTTATACCACTGACTCCACAGAAAAAGAAACAAAATCGAACTTAAAGCGGAGAAGCCCTTGGGCCTGTCAGTTTGCACTGAGGGTCTCAAAAAAAAAAACTGGCTGCAAATATTGTGGATGCAACACTATGGCAAAGAATTCTGCCACAAGTAACACACCTCCTGACTCTCCAAAGCTTGTCCACCGTCTACAAATGCACACGTTAAGCGTGTGATGAATAGTCCCTGCTGCCTGGATATGTGCAGCTCCAACAACACTCTAGAAGCCTGAAACCATTTAGGATAAAGCAGATTTCTTGACTGGCATCATACCTACATGCATTCACTGCCTCCACCACTGAAGCTTAGCAGCAGCAGCTGCAGGCGATGTGTATCATCTACAAATGTAATGCAGAAATTCTCCTTAAACCCTCAACCACTTCCATATAGGACAAGGGCAGCAGTTGTAGAGGGCCACCAACTGGAAGTTCCCCTCCATGCTACTCACCATCCTGTGTTGGAAATACACTGCTATTCATTCACTGCCTCTGGTGAGAGAGTGGAACTGCCTTCCTAACAGCATTGTGGATGTATCTATAGTCAAAAGGACTGCAGTGGTGCAAAAAGGCAGCTCAGCACCACCTTTACACAGGCAACTAGCGGCGGACAAGAAATGGTGGCCTAGCCAGTAACACTCATTCTATGAATAACAAAGATCATCCCAACATGGAACTACATCTCTACTCTTTCAATGCCACTGAATCAAAATCCTGGAAGTCCCTGCTTAACAACACTATGGGTGCACATCCACCCAAAAATCTACAGCAGTTCAAGATGGCAACTCATCAACTGGTCAACAGCGATTTAGGAAGGATGATTAATGAGCAGAATACTAGCCATGTCCATGAAGATGGTTATAATGGCCATTATGTCTGAAGAAACTGGAACAGCTGTAAACCATTCAGTACAACTAAATAAGACCCATTAGTTTTGGATTGCTCTTTTAAACCATGACATTAATATCCTGTAAATGTCTTTTTTCAAGTTACTTACCATCCAGGACACATATCGAGGTACAGTTGCTGTGAGAATTATGTAGCTGCTATCTGTGGACATGGTGCCATCTGCAGTGCACAGAGAACAACAACTGATTATTTTGTTTACTTACCAACTTATGTAAATACAGTACATTTAAGGTCATGACACAAATCACGTCCGAGAGTGTTTTGTAAGACAAAAGAAATGTGACTCCAAGCCATGTAAGAGATGTTAGGTCAGACGATCAAAATCTTGGCCAAATTGGGAGGTTCTACAAATGACCCAAAGGGCAAAGAGAGAGGTAGAGAAACTATGTAGAAAGGACATTAGAGTTTGGGACCTAGACTACTAAAATCAGACAACCAATGGTGGAGCAATTAAAATTGGTATACACAAGCAGTCAGGATGAGTGGACCGTAAATAACTCAGGCTAATGGTGAGGTTGGAGGAAATTAAAGTTGGGAGCAATGAGGCTATGAAGGTATCTGAAAGGAAGGATGGGAATTTGAAAACAAAGACACTGTTTGACCAGGAACAAAGGTAGATTAGATGGCATAGGGGTGACAGGAGAAACAGGTCCTGCTCTGAGTTAAGGCACAGGAAGCAGAGTTTTGATTTATCTCAAGCTTACCAGGGTTAGAAAGTGGGAAACCACCAAAAAGTGCATTGTACTAGTTGAGTCCAGGGCTTAAAAAAATTATCCACAATATGATAGAAAGATTAAAAGGGACAGTGAGAATATGGATAAAAATGTGTTTCAGGGACAAAAGGTAGAGAACAGTGATGAATGGGAAATGGTGGATGCCAATGTAATCTACGACAACCACATCTGCACAAAGAGTCTGCAGTTTGATTATCTTCAGCACAGAGTCAGAGTCAATGTGCTGGAGTCAGATTCGGTCAGTGCAGTGCATCAGGTACTAGAAAATTAACTGGACACCACCGTCAGCACTTCATGTTTTTATTTCAAATTTTCCAGCATCCACAACTACTTTGCTTTCATTCTACAGAAGTTGGGTAACTGTCGTTAGAATATAAAATGGTGAGAGGAGATTTGATAGAAACAAGCAGCATGCATGAACAGCAAAGAAAAAATGTTTCCAATGGCAGAACAAGTGAAGGATGTCAAAAATGCTACAATGGCAAATGTTTTGAGTAGATACCATACATGGTTTAATTTTTTTTTTCTATTCATTTGCAGGATGTGGGCGTCACTGGTTGGGCCAGCATTTCTTGCCCATCCCTAGTTGCCCTTGAGAAGGTGGTGGTGAGCTGCCTTCTTGAACTGCTGCAGCTCTCCTGCTGTGGGGTGACCCACAATTAGGGAGGGAATTCCAGTATTTTGACCCAGAAGCAGTAAAGGAAAGGAATGGCGATACATTTCCAAGTCAGGATGGTGAGTGACTTGGAGGTGGTGGTGTTCCCAAATGTGTCTGATGTCCTTGTCCTTCTAGATGGAAGTGGTCGTGGGTGTGGAAGGTACTGTCCGAGGATCTTTGGTGAATTTCTGCGTGCATCTTGTAGATAGCACACACTGCTGCTATTGAGCGTCGGTGGTGGAGGAAGTGAATGCTTGTGGATGTAGTGCCAATGAAGTGGGCTGCTTTGTCCTGGATGGTGTCAAGCTTCTGGAGTGTTGTTGGGGCTTCACTGATCCAGGAAAGTGAGGAGTATTCCATCACACTCCAGGCTTGTGCCTTGTAGATGGTGGACAGGCTTTGAGGAGTCAGGTGGTGAGTTACTCGCCACAGTATTATGAGGTTCTGGCCCGCTCTTGTAACCGCTGTCTTAATGTGGTGAGTCCAGTTGAGTTTCTGGTCAATGGTAACCCCCCAGGATGTTGACAGTGGTGATTCAGTGATGGTAACACCACTGAATGTCAAGGGATGGTGGTTAGATTGTCTCTTATTGGTGATAGTCATAGCCTGGCATTTGTGTGGTGCGAATGTCACTTGCCACTTGTCAGCCCAAGCCTGGATATTGTCCAGATCTTGTTGCATGTGAACAAGGACTGCTTCAGTATCTGAGGAGTCACGAATGGTGCTGAACATTTTACCGATGATTGCACACATCCCCACTTCTGACCTTATGATGGAGGGAAGGTCATTGATGAAGCAGCTGAAGATGGTTGGGCCTAGGACATTACCCTGAGGAACTCCTGCAGAGATGTCCTGGAGCTGAGATGATTGACCTCCAACAACCACAAACATCTTCCTATGTGTCAGGTATGACTCCAATCACTGGAGAGTTTGCCCCTTGATACCCATTAATTCCAATTTTGTTCGGACTTCTTGATGCCACACTCAGTCGAATGCAGCCTTGATATCAAGGGCTGTTGCTGTCACCTCACCTCTGGAATTCAGCTCTTTTGTCCATGTTTGAACCAAGGCTGTATGAGATCGGGAGCTGAGTGGCCCTGGCAGAACCCAAACTGGGCGTCACTGAGCAGGTTATTTCGAAGCAGGTGCTGCTTGATAGCACTGTTGATGACACCTTCCGTCACTTTATTGATTATTAAGAATAGACGGATTAGGCGGTAATTGGCTGGGTTGGATTTGTCCTGCTTCTTGTGTACAGGACATACTTGGGCAATTTTCCACATTGTCGGGTGGATACCAGTGTTGTAACTGTACTGGAGCAGCTTGCCTAGGAGAGCAAGTTCTGGAGCACAAGTCTTCAGTACTATTGCCGGAATGTTGTCAGGGCCCATAGCCTTTGCAGTATCCAGTGTCTCCAACCATTTCTTGATATCACGCGAAGTCAATCAAATTGGCTGAAGACTGGTATGTGTAATGCTGGGGACCACTGGAGAAGGCCAAGTTGGATCATCCACTCGGCACTTATGGCTGAAAATTACTGAAAATGTTTCAGCCTTATCTTTTGCATTGATGTTCTGGGCTCTTCCATCATTGAAGATGGGGATATTTGTGGAGCCTGCTCCTCTAGTGAGTTGTTGAATTGTTCACCACCATTCATGACTGGATTTAGCAGGACTGCAGAGCTTAGATCTGATCCGTTGGTTGTGGGATTGCTTAGCTCTGTCTATCACTTGCTGCTTTCGCTGCTTGGCGTGCAAGTAGTCCTGTTTGGTGGCTTCACCAAGTTGAAACCCTCATCTTCAGGTACGCTGTTCCTGGCATGCCCTTCTGCAGTCTCCATTGAGCCAGGATTGATCCCCGGCTTGATAGTAATGGTTGAGTGGGAGATATGCCAGGCCATGAGGTTACAGATTGTGCCAGTGTACAATTGTGCTGCTGTTGATGGCCCACAGTGCCTCCTGGATGCCCAGTCTTGATTTGCTAGATCTGTGCAAAGTCTGTCACATTTAGCACAGTGATAGTGCCATACAACACGATGGAAGTTGTTCTCAATGTGAAGGCGTGACTTTATCTCCACAAGGACTGTGCGATGGTCACTCTTACAGATACTGTCATGGACAGATGCAACTGCAGCTGGCTGATTGGTAAGGATGAGGTCAAGTATGTTTTTCCCTCTTGTTGGTTTCCTCACCACCAGCCACAGACCCAGTCTAGCAGCTATGTCCTTTAGGACCTGACCAGCTTGATCAGTAGTACCACTGCTGAGCCACTCTTGGTGGGTGACATTGAAATCCTCCACCCAGACTACATTTTGTGCCCTTGCCATCCTCTGAGCTTCTTCCAAGTGTTGTTCAACATGGAGGAGTACTGATTCATCAGCTGAGGGAGGACGGTATGTGGTAATCAGGTTTCCTTGCCTAATGTTTAACCTGAAGCCATGAAACTTCATGGGTGTCCGGAGTCAATGTTGAGGACTCCTAAAGCAACTCTCTCCCGACTGTATACCACTGTGCCACCCACTCTGCTGGGTCTGTCCTGCCCGTGGGACAGGACATATCCAGGGATGGTGATGATGATTGTGGTGTCTGCTACCTTGTCTGTAAGGTATGATTCTGTGAGTTTGACTATGTCAGACTGTTGCTTAACTAATCTGTGAGACAGCTCTCCCAATTTTGGCACAACCCCCAGATGTTCGTGAGAAGGGTCAACAGGGCTGTTTCTGCCGTTGTCTTTTCCAGTGCCTAGGTCGATGCCAGGTGATCTGTCCAGTTTCGTTTCTTTGAGATTTTGTAGCAATTGGTAAAACTGAGTGGCTTGCTAAGCCGTTTCAGAGTGCAGTTGAGAGTCAACCACATTGCTGTGGGTCTGGAGTCACATGTAGGCCAGACTAGGTGACGGTGGCAGATTTCCTCCCCTGAAGGGCATTAGTGAACCAGATCGGTTTTTCTGACAATCAACAATGATTTCATGGTGATCAGTAGATTCCTAATTCCATACTTTTGTTTTTAATTCAAATTCCATCATCTGCCGTGGTGGGATTCGAACTCAGGTCCCCAGAATATCAACTGGGTTTCTGGACTGATAGTCTGATTAATACCATTAGGCCATCGCCTACCCTTTTCAACAGGATCAAGGTCAGCACTTACCACAGAATCACAACTTGGCATCTGAATGACATTTCATTTCATATTAGTCTGACAGTAAATACAGTGTCCTCAATCACAGATCACAGAATCTCTACAATATGGAAACAGGTCCTTCAGCCCAACAAGTCCACACTGACCCTTCCCCACTCACTATGGGCAATTTAGCATGGCCAATCCACCTCGCCTGCACATCTTTGGATTGTGGGAGGAAACCGGAGCACCAGGAAGAAAACCATGCAGACACAGGGAGAATGCGCAAACTCCACACAGACAGTCACCCAAGGGTGGAATCAAACTCGGGTCTCTGGCGCTGTGAGGCAGCAGTGCTAACCACTGAGCCACCGTGCCGTCCCAACTACGATCTAAATACAAGAGATCTGTTTCTGGCACCCTCCATGCCATCATTTACTGCACATCACACCAACATACATCCAAAGTAACTAATCTAATAGCAGAAATGGTAGCTCAAAGCCACGAAGAATCTTAATAAACTGTGAATGAGTGACAAATTTATTCTTCTAGTGACAGCATTAAAAACAGATGGAAAACATTTACCTCAATTTGGCTTCCATGCCAAAACTAAAATTGATCACTGCAGACAAGGCTCACCTACAATGTGCC